AAGATAAAAGATAAAAGATAAAAGATAAAAGATAAAAGATAAAAGATAAAAGATAAAAGATAAAAGATAAAAGATAAAAGATAAAAGATAAAAGATAAAAGATAAAAGATAAAAGATAAAAGATAAAAGATAAAAGATAAAAGATAAAAGATAAAAGATAAAAGATAAAAGATAAAAGATAAAAGATAAAAGATAAAAGATAAAAGATAAAAGATAAAAGATAAAAGATAAAAGATAAAAGATAAAAGATAAAAGATAAAAGATAAAAGATAAAAGATAAAAGATAAAAGATAAAAGATAAAAGATAAAAGATAAAAGATAAAAGATAAAAGATAAAAGATAAAAGATAAAAGATAAAAGATAAAAGATAAAAGAGAAGAAAGTAAATCATAATGGACGTTATTATACTTATTTCGTACTATATTATGTACCTTCTACTGTACTTCGTTCTTCAATCACTCTATCTATTAAAATAAACCGTATCAAAATCGGTTGCGTAGTTTTATAGGTTTAAGTATACATAGGGACAGAGAAAACGATTTTGTTTTATGCTTTGTAGTGATTTTCGATATTTTCATTGCAATCTTCTATAGGGTCGTAAGCAAAGTTAATGGATTGCCAAAATCATTCCCGACATACCTCTTTCACTTCCTCATTCATCACTCCCATTCATGCATGCTCGCTTGTGCTGAGTAATTTTATTTTTAAATACAGCGCCCTTGTGTAATCGTTTCATTAATTTATATTGGATCAATAAATTGTATCGTAAATATATAGTTATATTTAGCCGGAATGCCTATAGATCTGTATGTCGGTTTGTTTGTCTGCCCGTTCGTATATCACAGCACTTTTTTTCCGAAATCATTAATTAAAGCTACGCTATTGAAATTTAATAAGGATTTCGTTTATTTAAGGATTGTGAAGGGAATGGGGGATAAGCAGGGATTTGGCCACCAATATAAAACACAATAAGTCACTAAGCATACTATAGCATACTATCTTGCCTCCAGTAGCAAATTCTCTACGAAAATTAATACCATAAAAAAAGATCCTGAAGAATTGAGAACCTCCTCGTTTTTTTGAACTCGGTTAATAAATGTTTTAATATACAATGAACTAGTACAAATCTATGTAGGTACATTATTACCATACAAACCTCCACCAAAATCGGTTTGTAGTAGATGTAGTAAGCAGTGTTTTAATTAAAATGTAAAAATATGTAGGTATATACTTTCTGCTACGGAACTCTTCATGGGCGAGTAGGTACTAACCGCGCCTAGCCCTTTTTATCTGCTATTATTCGTATAAGAATACACTTTTATAAATTTACATTTATTAATGAACTATTGAAAGGATTGAAGTAAACGATAAATAACTTTTTCATTCCATTATTCGTGCTTTTATTAAATGATAGTAAAAATAAATAGTTATTAGTATGATGTCTAAATCAATACGAATATTAATAATTTCAGCTACAGGATGAATGAAATTAATTCAAGTGCAACACGTCACGGATAAGATATTATCTCCATGCAGATATTTTCGCTGATGAATCAAAATTTCGCGGAAATTTCGACAAAGGGCATTTATGTATGTTTGTACATATATCACAAATGCGAGATAACTAGAATTTGCAATAACGCACTTGATATATGTAATTATTAGTCTTTAGAGTATTATGTCATAGTAATCTGATGAAACACTTCTTATATTACATTTTGTTTAACGAATTCATTTCATTACTACGAATAAAAGTTGATTTTCTGGATTAAGTGTTGGAGACCTAAGCTTTGGCACGAATGGCTCGATTCGACCAGAATGATACCATGGCGTCACAGAAAACCGGCGTGAAACAACCACAGCGTTGTGTTTCGCTGTGTGAGTGAGACTACCCGAGGCCCAATCCCTCCTCCCATCACTTCCAATCCTTAAATACTTATTTGAAACCCATAACCCCAAAAAGGCTGACAAGGCACGAGAGTCTAGTCGTGTATCGACCTATCCCATAAAGAAAATAAAAAAATTTAGAAATCTCAAATCCCAATTAAGTTCGATTTAATCGTTTCTGTTAAGGATTAACTATCAGTAACAAAAGCAAATGTACAGGTTTCTCATTCATTCACTTCATAACGGCGAGTTGTCAAAAACGTTACCTATACAAATATAGGAGTAGAAAAACTCCGCATGGCAACGTCCCAATTGACGCATTGCTACTTTTTATTTGAAGGCGCACTATTAATGTTGCTTTTTACCAAGATTTAATAAATGTCTCATAATGTTTTTTTTATGTGATGATAGGACGTCAAATGAGCAGACGGATTGACCGATTCTAAGCAATCAGCGCTGTCCGGAACAACGGAAGTGTTACGAGTATATTGCCGACCTTTTGTGGATTACAGATTTGGAGATTTTGGGATTCGGGAAGGATTGGGCCCCGGTTTTTTTTTGTGAGGTGAAAATCATCAAATGACTTCTCCCGCCCAGGGCCAGGCTGGAGGGAGTGTCAGACTCTTACTGACTAAAAAGCTCCTGTTCCTTCTCCTGCTCTGTGCCGAGGTCGCGGTGCCTCATTGCGCTTACCCCGCAACCATTGGGCCCCCGGTAAACTCACTCACAAGGTGAAAGACACACATGTATACATATAATGATCGTCTAGGGGAAAGCATGATTATTAGCGTTAGCGTTATTTCAAAATTTAAATAACCTGTCTTTGTAAATAGTTTTTTTAAACGAATCATCAAAAGACACGTTATAAGTAACTCTTTTTTTTAAAAAAAAACCTTTCCCCGCACTAGAACTTTCTCCTGTGTCTTGGGTGCGGTTAACAGCATACAATTTCACAATTTTACACTGTCATGTATATATAGTACATGACACCCAGACGCGGAACAACAATTTGTGAATCACACAAAGAGTTGTTTCGTGCGCCAATTCAAACCGCGACACGTTGTACGGCAGCCAGTTGCTGTGTTAACTGGATAGTCAAATTAATTTAAAATACAGTACGAGCAATAGGTACATGTCTCCATATAACTTGGATACATTGTTCAAAGGTAACTCAAGTGGCAACTCTTTTATCCTTTTTCCTGAACACTTGTATAAGAAAAGAAGACTATTTGTTCTGTTACGATGCGCAATAACGTGGAACCCGCACGCACTTGTCCGATTTTATGCACAATATCTTACAATAAACTGTGTATATTTTTGCTTAGAAAATGTAATGGGGTAAAACGGGCGTAAGATTATTGTTATAACCATGTACTGGTATAATGGATGTTACTAGCCTGCTAGTCCGTTGTTTGGTCGAGTGGTCGAGTTAATAGCTCGGAATGTAAACAGTGCCGCAGCTTTCAATGACGCTTATAATCTGTACTCAATGGGGTAGTTTTTATTGATCATTAAACAAAGCATCACGCTTGTTGTTATGCCGAAGGCAAGATGATGTGTTCTCATATTATTAGAAACAAGATTATATGCCAGAGAAAATTATTTTACATAAGTATAGTTCAAATTACAAGACGGAATTGTAATTTGAACTATACTTATGTAAAATAATTTTCTAGCTGGAAATATCTACTGTCTTTCTTCCCTGAGCTTTACAAACATTAATGTTTATAGCTTGTTTTTTTTTGAGCTCATCAGGAAGAGATAGTAACAATCGCATTGCGGCTTGACTGCATAATATATTGTGCTATTTCATTCTCAAATCCGTTTAAAGCAGTGTTTTATTTTTAAAAGACTTCCTTGTTGGCTTATGTTATAAAGATTAAAATCTTTATTTAAACAATGTCGACGTTATGGTATTAATAATAATAGCATATTTTAATCCCATATAGTACACCTAGTAAAAGAGAGACCAAACAATTGGAGCATTTGTTTCGTCTCTCGTTTATGAGATGATAGTTATTGCCTTAGATCTTTTTTTCTTAGTAATAGAGAAATAGTTAGCTAAAGAAAGGAGTTAGCAACTGTCAAAAATGTAGATTTCGCACTTTTTTGAAGTAAGTAACAAAAACGTCATATTCATGTCATAACCGTATCAAACATAGGTCATCATACCTATATGTTTTGGCCCTCCAAACCGTTTTAAATCGAGCACAATTTAATATTTAAATTAATTAGCTATACTTCGCAGCAGTAGCGCCATCTAGCGAGCAAAATCGAAATCTCTGATTTATCGTAATACCATATTTTACAAGATAAAATCTGTAAAAGTGACAAAACACTCCTGAAGGCCTTCCAAGGAATGATTACAGAACCGAAGGGACTAATTCGTAATCAGGCCTGACTTTGTACTTTGTACCGATCGTTCTATTTCCCATCTGATTACGTATGGTACTTTGGAATGTATGTAAACACATTTCTTATCACAAAACCATATTTGCACAGGTAAACTAGTGAAAATACGGTAGCTGCGTGTAATAAAGATGTATTCTTTTACATTGTAAACAAAATTATCTTTATGGCTATGTAAATGGACTCTTACCGTGTTTTTGTATGTGTTAATGCACTTAAGCTTTTTATATTCTGTATCTGTATTGCTTTAGAGTTATTTTAGCTTAATTACGTCTTGTGGGGTGACAATTTAGTGTTATATTTCTTTTTCATTAACATTTGTGTGATTAAGCCTTACGTGTCTTAGCGTTTTCTATCGTTTTAATAATGTGTTTGCTTTGTGTAGTGAAATTACACGAGTATGCGGTTAGTCAGTGGAAAGCAGAGGATTAACAAGGAAAATTAATGATATGGTAGATCTGAGAACGACTTTCAATGCCACACAATGTAATTCGTTTGTTTAGTAGAAAACAGAACTAACTCACAAAAGTGAACCTTATTATTGAAGCATACATTTTAAGATTCAAATACCTTAATTTTTGAGTTTTACTTCTTTTTTTGTTAAGCGTACGATTATGTCATATTTCTGAAAAGCTCACTACGAAATTACGCTACGTTGACGGAACTCTTGAGACTACAAAATGTATAAACACGCTGATACTCACAGGTGCCACCCCATCCGAGATATCCACCGGCGTACGTCAACAACAAACCTCCGCCAAAAATGAGCAGGCTTCGGATTGTAGGTGCGTATATGTCACTGTGATCCGGCAGACAGTCTGATAACACTCCCCAGAATATTCCGAGGGCGATACCGACGAATATAGCCAGCAAACCCTGCCAAAATTACGAACAAAAAGGTAAAGGGCGCTATATCCAAATTGAACCTTAAAGAAAGTGGTTTGATTTTAAAGAAAACCTAGTCGAAGTGTTTCTTGGAAACGATTTCAAGTGTGGATAAGTACGGCCGGCCGACGGATTTCGATATTTGAATTTATTATTGAAGATAAAAACACATTTCGATAAAATAGAAACGTTTTAGAGATAGTCTCGTTTGTATATTCAGGTATTGTTTTACTAGTTTTATGAAATTCAATTGAATTTCATTCCGACTATTAACATCTAAGCTGTCAATAAAAAAAATACAATAAATGGTCTAAATGACGTTGATAATAAATATTTCATAATTAGTTTTGTTGTAGCTTCGTGTTATAAAAGTATTTGTAGCTAAGAATTACCTTCACAATCCTGTATACCAGAGGCGCGGGGTAAAATATTGCACTGTTGATTACTCCGCACACGCCTTCCGTGAATGCAGTATCAATTCCTCCAGCATTTAGCACCACCGGTGCTATTTGACTTTTAGTTCCTATCCCTCTTTCATCGAATTTGTATAATGGTGGCGCCACTATAGCTGGTGACACTGAAGCTAGGATGGAACCGAGGTGTAGACCTGCAGGTACCAGAAAATAAATCTCAATAACTGCTCTATCGCTTTCAAATATTAGTACATACGAAGGCGCTTTCTTTGAAATATTCAGCTTTGTGTTATTGAACATCCTCGACTCTCGCAAGGCTCAATTGTCGTCAGATGAATGCGGATTTGTGTGAATGAACTCAGTGAGCCGTTTCCAAGCAATAACCGGTGCTACTGGTTTTTCATCTGGGGTTCTTCTATCGGTAAGTAGCGTAAACGGGATCAGCCAAATAAATAAGAATTTATTTGGGATATTTTTTGCAGTAAATGACTTATTTACTGAAATTAGTTTGTGAATCACGTGATTTTTGAAGTTCGAAACTTAGAAATGTTACTTACCCCAGTACCAAGGGTAGTCGAGTAGTATGTGGGCAAAGAAGGCAGTAGATAAACACTCGACTATCCAGGGCAGAGTGGCCAATGAGAAAACTTTCACTGAATTATTTTTTATATATTCCCAGTTCCAAGTGAGTGGTCCCTTCGTCAGAATAATGACGGGGTAGATTCGCCTGAAAGAATAAAAAAAGCTGTTCATTGAACCGTAACTAATGAAATTTTAACTACCGAACTTGAATTATTGGGGTTTTCTACGTATTGAATATATAATATTTGTTTACATGAAAGTGTTAAATAATAATATTATGTGACAGTGGGTTACTTTCTACTTATAACTTCTAAGGCAATTTAGGAATAAATGTTAAAGCTACATTTTAAATAGTAATCTGCAGAGCTAGGTTATCGAAGTCTTAACAAGCGGTTGAGTCTTAAATTAAATAACCGAGTCTTGCACCGAATTCACTAACCCAACCCATCTGTAATTTAACTTTCCAGCTGAACTTACTTTAAGCAACGTCTTATGTACTTTAACTTAGTTTGTGTATAATTATGTTTGTAAGTTCAAGTTAAAAACTACATAGTTTACATTCTTGTTTAAATATTAAGTGTGGGAGAGCCATGCTTCAGCACGAATGGGTCGGCTCGACCGGACTGATACCAAGTCCTTACGGGAAACTAGTGTGAAACAACCACAGCGTTGTGTTTCGCCATGTGAGTGGGGTTACCGGAGGACCAATCCTTTCCCTCCCCAATCCTAATAGGTCCCCCCACCCTCCCCGCCTAATCCTCAAAAGGTCGGCAACGCACTCGTAACTCCTCCATTGCGGGTGTCCATAGGCAGCGCTGATTGCTTACCATCAGGTAATCCGTCTGCTCGTTTGCCGACCTATCACTTAAAAAAAGTATTTATTGTTTATAACTTATTTTTAAATGACTTGAGTAGACTCACGTAAGTTGTACTCTACCCATATTAATTCGTTATAATTAATCTGCAAACATTTATTTAATAAGAAAACACTCGGCAGCTTGATGATAAATATTATTTTTATTCAAGTGAATAAATATTATTAATATGTAATGTTCAACATACGATTTTCATTTTCAGGGGATTAAATATTTCGAAGCTGAAAGCACATTTCCAGGTGAATATTTTTTCGTCATACAAGCCCTATTAGCATGTGTTTTTTTTGTGAGGGGAAAATCATCATATGACTTCTCGAGTGTCAGCCTCTTACTGACTAAAAACCCCCCTGTTCCCTGCTCTGGGCCTAGTTCGCGGTGCCTCATTGCGCTTACCTCGCAACCTCGGCATCCCTTAGCATGTGTAACGTGTAGTAGGTAATTAATGTAATGGCTCCCCAACCTTAGTATCATGTACTAGTACTTCTATTAGCAAAATTAATGTAAGTCCTCCATCAAATTATCAGCCGTTCTATGAAGTGGTAACTCATAATAAGTATATGTCCATAATTACGTTACAAAATTACGATGTGGCAAGATCGAAATCAATTAAGCGGAGTCATTTATTACGTCAACGAGAAAGCTGAGGCCTAAACAATTTATTTAATTAATTAACAAAGTTTTGTGTGCAGGTGCTGTTTACATCATTGCGGTGGAGTTTGTGCATTATGATATTTCGAAGCTTTAATCGCCTATTGAAATAATTTGATATTAATAACTTATGCCTTCGTTAGTAAAGACAAGGTGAGAAGTTTTTTTTCTCTCTGATCGCTATTTCCCCTCATGTTACACCTAGATACTTTTCATTGTTATGATTAAACTAAATTGTTAATATAACATTTTCCGGATTAATAACTAAGATGATCTCAGAGTTGAGGTAGATTACTCAACGTTATTATGAATGTTTTTAAAATAATATTATTAATACATATACAGTTTATATAATATACTATACTATATAGCAAAGCTAAAAAAACACAATGAAGACGACTGTGAACTTTTTTTAAATTATTTCACACAATAAATTTGAATATGGAATGAGTTAACAGCCGAATTACAACTATAATTCATATGATATTAGAACAAAAAAGTAATAATCGAACAACCTCACGATATCAAAACTAATTTATACCTATTAGCATATAAATAATATTTAATAGAAAAACGATAGCTTACCTTAAATGGAAATCAATGAGATCTGCAGAGGGATTGTCTAGAAAGTTTGGAGGTCCAAATTGTCTGTAGAGAGCTCCCGCCAATGTCATGCCAACGACTGGATGGATTGCTGTGTATCTTTCCAGTGTGTGACCAAATATGTACCCTGCTATGACCACTCCACTCATATTGAACAGGTACCCGTCTGGAAGCACTGCGTCTTTGAATATAAACCATGATGTGCCCCATAGTGTTAAACCTGGAATAAATAAGGGAGAAGGTTAGTTTTTTGCTGAATGAGTTTAGGCTGCGCACGGCGAGCAGGATTAACTCGCCCCCCGAACAGAACCAGACCAAGCTTACGGAGTACGGCATAGACCGATACAGATGGAGCCCATTAAGGCTGATGTTCAGCTAGGTTTGCGGATGTAAACTTTACATTGCAACCCCAGTTAAAAAGGAAAAGGAATGATGAGAAGGTGTTTTTTGTCAGTAAGAGTGTAACACTCCCTCTCGGTAAAACAAGGGAGTTATTTTCCTCCCTCTAAAAAACACACACACCACATACAGTGTAACCTCACTGATTTACCGCGACCTGGCTCGGAGTTTGAGAAGAAAGAATGGTGTTTAGTCAATACGAGTCTGTCATTTCCTTTCGTCCCACCCAGACCGGGAAAAAATATTAAGTACCTAGATGAGTTCCTTCCTCAAAAAAGGGATAGTTTAATAAAGTTTATCAACAAATATCTACTTAGGCTACTCCGACGGACTGATGTATGTCGAAAAAACCAACAAAGTTCTGTTTGTCAAGTGCCTACAACGAGTTTTTAATATTGCAACATGTAGCCAGCAAGTTTGCTTTGCGCCTATAAAACTGCGGATTCAACCTAAAGGCCTTTCTAGGGCGAATATTTATAGTATCACTCAAAAAACTGAAATATTGAAACGTTGGTTCGGGAAAACGATATTAATTTACTGTTTCATTGAATTGCAGCTTCATATGTATGTACATATAAGATGTCTTTGCTTGCTCAAAGTAGATTTAATTAGAAATAAGAAAATTTTTCATACATTTCCTGAATCACAAATTACTAAATGTTTTTGTGGCTATAGATAGCAAACTAACTTTGATCACCTAATCACAAGGATCCCGCTAAGGATACGATTGGCGAGTAAGTTACTGGCGTTTTGAAGTTTAGAGATTTGAGGGTAATGGTAATATCACTCACATTTTTAGGCGTTTATACAAGAGAGCAAATAAATCACCTCTGATGGTAGGTATCCATAACCATCGTGAGACATACTAAATTAACTAAAAATCGCGGGTTACGCGTCCGCGCACGCTGCTCATGAGGAAGAACCCCTCTGTGGTTCGAAACTAGTAGAGCTTTTCTCAATATACACACGTGAGTAACCCGCGATTTTTAGTTAATCCATAACCAACTGGAATTTCAGAGAATTCTTCTGAAATCTGATGAAGTGTGGGAGAGCCATGCTTCAGCACGAATGGGTCGGCTCGATCGGAGTGATACCACGGCCTCACAGAAGACCGGCGTGAAACAACGTTGTGTTTCGCCGTGTTAGTGAGGTTACCGGAGGCCCAATCCTTTCCCGCCCCCAATCCCTCCTCAATCCCTAAATCTCCAAATCCCTAATCCCTAAAAGGTCGGCAACGCACTCGTAAATCCTCCGTTGCGGGTGTCAATGGGCGGCGCTGATTGCTTACCATCAGGTAATCCGTCTGCTCGTTTGCCGACCAATTACATAAAAAAAAACAATTCTGGTAAATAAACCTTATTGAATTTACACGAACACTGTTATGTATAATGAATATGTGCAATAATTATAATATTGATATCATTAAATACAAGTCTGCGAGTCTTGTTTTGATGTTTAATGTATAATTGTGGCGTAATTAATTTCTAAATAATTGCATGTCAATATTGTCATGCTTGAAAAGACAAGGACAGGAACATGTTGAGTTATTTTTATAAAATGTGAATTTCTCTTTTTGCATTAAAATTAGAGGTAATTAAAAATGAGAAGTATTTGCATAAGTCTGTGAGGTACGCATCGCTACATCTTCCTCAAGTCACGCATCGCATAGGAATGAAGATCGCACGCGCTGCGAACGCGTTATATTTACGTTAGTGCTATCTCGCTCGCGCGCGCACCTGTCTCGTTTCTTTTAGCTACTTGCAGAGTCAGGAAAGGCACGTTCTTATTGGACAATCGCGCGACGCTTTTATCGCGCGACTGCCACTACTTCAGCCCCAGTGATTTTGTACTTAAGCTCAATGTATGAACAGAAAATATATACGCTCATATTTCTACACTTCTACTCTTGTTTTATTTCAACAATATTCACATCGCTGCTACATTTTTGGTGACCCCGAGTAGAAAATGGAACACAAGCAAGAAATTAGTGAGCCTACAGACCTCGCTGCCATCTCCGTGCAGTCACGTCTCCTTCCCTTCTGGCGCGAATACCCACGCATGTGGTTTATTCAATTTGAAGCCGTCGTCGACCCACAGAAGACCAGTGACGAAAACAAATATCGTTACGTCCTCGGCCAACTACAACCGACAGACCTTCAACATATCACAGACATCGTGATCAAGCCACCAGAAACGAAGAAGTACGAAGCCATCAAACAACGCCTTCTCTCCGTGTACGAACAGTCCGAGGTGAAAAATTTCAAGAACCTCATTAGCGGATTGGAGCTTGGCAACCAAAGACCGTCTCAGTTGCTACGGCGCAAGCGTGAACTCGGCGGCAACATGATCACCGAAGATGGTATCAAGATAGAGTGGATGAATCACCTTCCGGCGCAAATTCGAGTTGTGCTGTCAGTGAACACAGACTCGTCACTTGACATGCTAGCGGCAATGGCAATCGCTGCTACAAGTCTAAACTGATTTTGAAAATTGTGTGATCCACGAATTGTTGTTCCGGGTCTGGGTGTCATGTGTATGTGAAATTGTATGTTTGTAACCGCATCCACGATATTACGAAACATTAAAAAAAAAAGTTTAAAATAACGAACGCCACAATTTGAACCTTTCTATATTATAAAAATCCAAGTCTATTTCAATAAATTTACTAGGTAAATAGAAATATTTGTCATTTAATTAAGCTCAGTATTTCAAAGCAAGGTCCGGTATTATCACGATTTAGAAGCGAGGCTCATAATAACCAGCTGTTGTCTGATGCCATTTGTAGACTCCCGAATTTATTGTCGGAAAAGTAATTTATGGCGACATGAAAACAACCAAGAAATATTATTAATCTCTCAAATAAAATATGGACTGAAGTTACCAACTGTTCATAATCACGGTCCGTAATCGTTTCGTAATGAAAATAATGCCGCTAATGTGTACCGAGTGAAAACTGTACAATTGTAAAAAACTTAAATGCCATTAGTAGTCATGAATTTGTCTTTAATAAATCGAATTAGGTACGTAGTCTTATAGTCACCAGCGTCGTTATATAAATTTACATAATTTCACAAATTGATTTTTACGCATTACATTCCCAGATGCCATATTTTTTATGGAATAGGAGGGAAACGAGCAGACGGATCACCTGACATTACGTGATCTGTACCGCCCATAGATACCTGCAGCACCTGTGGAGTCACGGGCAGACTCCTTTTAAGAAGGATGTAGTACGTTCATTTTTTGAAGGAACGAAGGTCGTATCATTCGTCGTTCTAGAGACTATTTTTTAATTTGTATTAGTTGTGCCCCGTGGTATCACAGCATAAGACTATGGTACCGGGGATAATGAAACTCCCGAATCAAATCTTTATAACTTATAATGTTTGTGTAGATTCTGTGTTAGAAGTTAATTGCAGAGGTGCCGGGGCCAATAAAGAAATAATATCTGAATACATGAGATTTTATTATGTATACATTTACGTAAGACTCGTAGATAAAAATTGAAACTGCGAGGAATTAAAAAAAATCCTTAAACAGCATAATAGTCCGTAGATCTGTTAATCAGATGTTCATTCCTGTCTGTAACAGTTTCGTATTTAAGTTATTTCGTTACTCCGTGGTACAATTGGATTAAAACATCCAAACAGTCGAACTACGTTCGTCGCAGATGGATGCAATTCGACTGATTGGCTGATTGAAATATCCAAATTACCCTTTGATAGTTTTTCAAGGTTCTTTATAAAAGGTTATCTTTGTGATCAAGTCATAAGTTTGGTTTGTTGCAACTAGATCTTGGGTCTAATGAAATAAGCATTGTACAAGAAAGTGTTTAAGGCTATGGTTGTAATTGATTGCCTGGTCAAATAAAAGTTATCAAAATGATCTACTTCCTGCTCTTGGTTTTTATGCCTTTTATTTTTTTATGAGATAGACGGCAATCTATTTATTATTCATATTATCTAATGGTAAGCAATCTTCGCCGCTCTTGGACACCTACAATACCAAAGGGTTTACAGAGTGCATTGCCGGTTTTTTGGGGATTAGTATTTTAGAGATTTAAGGATTGGAAAGAGATGGGGGAGGGGAAGGATTGGGTCTGCTGTGGTAGCTTAGTGCTGATTTTGAGTCTGTGGTATCACTCCTGTGGTGTCGACCCATTCGTGAAGAAGCTTTTGCTCTCTCACACTTTTAAAATAATTTGTATGTATTGAATAAAATTTTGGTTCTTATACGGACTTCCTGAGATATGAATCCATCTCTCCCACAGATTTTCCCCTATGACGTAGATATTATGTTGGCAGGTATTGAAACCGAAGCTGTAATAAAACCACGTTCCTGTTTTATATCTCGGTGATAACCCGCGCCTATGTCGCGAGTTACGTTTGTAGATTACGTATGTATCTAAATTTATTTCATGCTTCTAGCATAATTATTTTTTATATGAAAAATCGGCTAACGAGGAGACCTATTACCTGATAGTATGCAATCGGCGCATGGATACCCGCTACATCAGAGGTGTTACGATTGTGAGCGAAAGTTTTGGTTATTAGGATTACGGAGATTTAGCGGTTTAGGCAGAAATGGGAGGAGTAACCCTACTTACACGGCGAAACATAAAACAACGCTGTCTTGACTGTAAAGACTTATCTACACAAGATATTTTTGATTATTATTTTAGTTAATTATTATTACTAGCAGCTCGCCCTTGATTCGCACTGTCACCAAACTCCCTAGATTTCAGCCATTTTTAAAGTACTTATAACTTGGAAAATGACACATAGTCACTTGCTAGGTTTCTAATCCACACCCTTATTCACG